GCGGGCGCGGCCCGGGCAGACTTCGTCCAGTTGTGGGCAGACGGGCGCCCTCGACCTCGAAGTCGCGCCCACCCTTCTCGCCCCTTCGCCCAGTCGATGCGGCGAGCGCAGCACGGCCACGTGAGGGAGAGGGGGCTGGAGGGTTATGTGTGTGCACTGGTACGCGGCGAGAATGGAGGTGTGTTCGCGCGCGCGTGCGCACACGCACGCACGCACGCACGCACGCACGCACGCACGCACGCACGCACGCACGCGCACACACACAGACACAGACACACAGACACACACACACACACACACACACACACACACACACACACACACACACACACACACGCACACACACGCGCACACGCACACACGCACACACCCACCCACACACACACGCACACACGCACACACGCACACACGCACACACGCACACACGCACACACGCACACACGCACACACGCACACACGCACACACGCACACACGCACAGCACGCGCACGCGCACGCGCACGCGCACGCGCACGCACACGCACACGCACACGCACACGCACACCCACACGCGCACGCACACGCACACGCACACGCACACGCACACGCACACGCACACGCACACGCACACGCACACGCACACACACACACACACAAACACACACACACAAAACACGGATGACTCTAGATGTCTCCAGAGGTCTTCAAAATTGGTTGGGAGTTCGAAGAACTCGAGGGACGTCCTGGGAAATTCAAGACACTCGCATACTATTCGCCCGAGACTAGCGCAAGAGGGCGGAGGGTCCACGGCGGAAGGTGTCGAAGAAGGAGGTCGATGAGGGAGCAGGCGTCGGATCCTGATCTCCAGCGATCGACGCTCGATCCGAGATCCGTGAAGGTCGGCGGAGGTTTTGTTCGAGGCCAGGGGTGGGTTCCATCCGCTGCGCCTCTTCGCGGGCGCTCCGGGGGCCCCCAGCGGAGGCAGGAGGCCCGAAGCATGGCCCGTGGCATCGCTCGGACGTGTGCACTTTTTCCTTCGGCGAGGGCCATCGAGGAGCATCCTTGATCATTTGGCGAAAAAAACACGCACGAAACCGAAAAAAACACAGGGAATGGACGTCCGAGCGATGGCGAGGGCCCGAAGCCCAAGATCTCTGACGGTGGGGTGGCTTTTCCGCCGCCATTGCCCGGCCTCGGGGCCATCAGAGGTGCACTGGGGACGAAGAGAAGCAGCCCCGGGGAAGCGGTCGGGACTTTTATGGCAGCGGATTGGGTATTCGCATCGGTTGAGGTCCAAGGTGAAAAGTTCAGCGTTCGGGGAAGCAATAATGGGGTGGTGACCACACCGTGTGGTGAGTCGGTGGGGATTCGGGGTCACCGCACGGTTTTGGGACTCGAGTCCCTCTCCGCGGATGTGTTGGGCGACAGGGGCCTCCAGGGTCCCAAGGCCGTGCGGTGACGGGCAGTGCGGTGAGGTCTCGTGGGGTTCCGCGGTCACCGCACGGTCTGTCACCACGCGGTTTTGGGATCCTCAATCATGGCGGAGGGCGCCGGCAGAAAGAGAGAGAGAGAGAGAGAGAGAGAGCGCCGCTCTTGCTGGGGGGCATCGCGGTTGCGCTCCGAGATTTGCGGTGGGCATCCCCGCGCTCAAGGCTCGGGGTCTTGAGAAACAATTTTGGGGCGGCCAGGAAAGAAGAAACAATGTTGGATACACATACGTAAAATTGTCGACGGTTCCCGTGGAGTGTTTGGATCTGCGCAGGACCCCCTTGGAGGCGCCTCCAGCGCCGCCCCTGGCGCGCTCCGCGCTCCAGGGAGCAGGGTCCAGCGCAGATCCAAGAATTCCGCGCGGACCGTCGATAGCTTTTGTCTGTGCAGTTGGTGTTCTTTCTCTGCAAGAGGGAGTGGTTTTAGGAGGGGGTGGATATCATGGTTGGAGTCGTGATATGGCCTTGGGTTCCATGGCCCCCCTCTTCGTCCTTCAACACGTCCATTGGTCCCCCCCTCGTCCGCGCACATTCCTCCTGCCAGGATTTTTGCGAACCGTCTTCGTTTAACAACCCCAGCCAGTGATCCAGGCCTTGGTGCAGAGATGACGCGCTGCGCCCAGGACGCGGCTGCGGCCAGGCGTTGGGGGCAGCCGCAGGAGGGGGCGCATCGATCCAGAACCACTCCTTCGTCTCCGATCGACTCCTGGCAGCCCACCCCGCCCAGGAGCGTGCGCGTTCACTATCGGGGGCCCGTCGACGCTCTGTCGGCGGTGCCTGACCGATTCGAGCAGGCTCGAGGTGACCCCCCCCCTGAGCCAGTCCCCCCCCCGCCGTCTCCCCCTCGGGTGGGGGGAGAGCGCGGGGCATGTCCGGGGGGAATCGAAGCAGGATGGGGACTGCCGCCTCCCGCGGCTCTGGCCCTCCGGCCACGCGTGTCTCACACCAATCGGCGGCAAGCCCAGGGGGGAATGCAGAGGGAGCGGGCCTTCTCAGAGAGCTCGGGAGGCCTTGGGCCTTTGAGAAGTTTGCTAGGCCTTCTCCGAAGACAGAGAGTGCTTCTCAGGAGGCCGGATAGCTTCCGAGAAGCCCCGCCGCCCTCTGGGAAGATTTGCCCCCTCTCACCTCCCCACTGGGCGCGCCGCCGAACCAACTTCTGGACCTCGACGGCAGATTCCGAACCCGCCTTGAGAGCACCAGTACCTTCGGACGTCGGGTCGGCCCAGACACGACCTCGCGGAAGGGCCGGCTGAGAACAGGGCCGCCGTTTCGGGCCTCGGGGGGGGCCTCGTCTCCACGGCTAAGCGCAGCTCGGGAAGCCGTGGCGTCTGGACCCGACAGGGGCCCGGGGGCAGCTGCTGGGCGGGTGCCCGGGCCAGGCGCCCGTGCCCCACCGCTGTTGCCGCCAGTGGCCCTCCGCAGCCCCAGGAAGGCCCCGGGAAGGCTGGGACGGCACGTGCTCAACGGCACCGTAACGGGTACTTACTAACGGGTACTTTGCAATTTTGCCGAAAGTTGCCACTTTAGGGCCTCTTTCTGGCAATGCAGCGTTGCCCGCATCGGGAAGGGTTGGGTTCGCTGGGTCACTGGCCAAAGTACCCGTTAGTGGAGTCCCCGTTTGTGGGGCGCTGACGTGCGGTGGCTGGCTGTGTCGGGCGGGTGGTAGTATAGAATGGCTTACAGTCGGGGCCCTGAAGGAGGAACCCTTTTCGTTGGGGAGGCTCCGAGTTCCTGAATTGTTTCGCAGCTTGCCTTGGATTTCCCTCAGGTCTTCGATGCGAAATCGAAGTTCAACTTATGGAAGACAGGGGCCTCGTTCCTTATTCAGGGTTCCTTAGGGCAACGCCCCGACTGTACATTCACCACCCACCAAACCACCCCAGCCCAACCCGAACCCTCAATTTGCCCTCCATCTCCAGTGTGGGGGGGTCGAGGAACGTCGAAAAAGCACATGGAACCCGTACCCCCCCCCCCCGACCCGAAATTGGGGTCAAATCCGGGTCTTCGGGTTGGGTTGGGGTGGCCTGGTAGGTAGTCACACATGGGACCAGCATCGGGGGGGAAGAAAAGGGCCCTTTTCAGGCCCTTCTCTTCACCGCCCGCCAGGCTGTGGCGTCGTGCGGCTCACCGTGAGCAGGGCGAGGGAGGAGGAGGAGGAGGAGGAGGAGGGGGAGGAAGCAGGACTGGGGCTGGAGCGCGCTTGCAGATCGGAGGACGCCTGCCAAAAGTGCACACCACGCCTGCACGCCTGTCCTGGCCGAGCCCATCTCGGGCTACGGGCCGAGCCAGGAGGGCGCATGCACCGATGCCGGGCCCGGGACGGGCCCAGCCAGGACGGGCGTGGCGTACAGACGGCGCCCCCCAGCAGAGCGTCTTTTCTCGAGGCGGGATACCTGATCCCGACCCGAACCTCTGGGTCGGTGTTGGTGGTCGCCGCGGCAAACGCAGCGGCCACAATTCGGGGCAGGGATTCCTGCAAGGAGTGGCATGCAGACGTGGCTATAAGTTCACCGTTTAGCGGCAGAGAGTTGCCAATGCATGTGCTCAACATGGGCACTTGGTTCTGCTGGCGGGGGGTCGGTGCTCACGGAACCACCGTGTTATGATGTTCCAATCTATTGTGGCTCTGATCACCAGAAATAATTTCGAGCACCCAGGAAGTACCGAATTTGAAGGTTCTTCACGTGTCGGGCCCTGGGAGGCGATATTCGTTCGAAAATGTGTCGATACTGTTCTGGGTGCTCGAGTTCTTTCTGGGATGCGGTCCAGAAGTGCGATGGGAGCAACACAAGGCTCGTGGCGTGAAGCGACCGCGCGCCGAAAGCTGGCCTGGCATGCTGTCTTCGGCTCCGTCGACGGCCAGCCTGCCCCCCTCGACGGCCTTTCTCCGTGTGGCGCGCTCCAGAGAGGTCCTGGCCTCCGACGGTCGAAGGCGCGGGCCTCTCCTCCTCGGGGGCAGGGGCGGCGGAGGCTGGCTGACGCACAGCTGCCTCGTCGCCTCACGCCCGCCCTCGCGTCGGGCGTCGGTCGCGCTTCGAGCACGCCGTGCTGTTTGCTCCGTCGTCGCCATCGCCCCCGCGAGACTTCCTGGGCAATGGGAGTTGCGTTTGAACAAGAAAGGAAAACTAGGCCGCCTCCGCCGGCGGGAAGCTTGGCGGAGGGCAGCGGAAGGAGCACTGTTCCCCACGAGATGACATGTTTGGGGCTCAGGGCTTCCAGAACCGGCCATGTGCCTCTCGTCATCGTGTCCAGTCAGGGTGTCATCTTATTCTCCCTCCTGACTGCGGAGCCCGTTGTGGATGTGTCAGGGTGTTCCGCATGTTTCAGCGCCTTCTCAGGACCCAGCCCGAGATCCTTGGCCATTTGAGCGGTCGCCCATCGCGAAACGAGGAACAACGGCGTGTAGGTCAGCTGCTAGCCCAAGTCGCGATCCCCATCTCAATATTTCTAGGCTACGCGCTAACTTTCCTCACTAGCAGCGTCCTCGCTCGATCCATATCTGGATCCCGGCAAGAAAAAAGGAGGGTACGGGAAGACCCTGCTCACCCTGCGCGTCGTGGGCATCCGCGACTTCTTCTGCAAGCCGAGCCCTTTTGCTGCCTCATCATTTGGGGAAGTCAGGGTTTGCGCGGTGTCAGGTGCGGCATTGCCATAGTTCGGTGGCGGGCTGCCGCTTCGTTCGGAGGATCGGGAACAACATACGCCGCTGCATATGGTGATGTTTCTTGCTGATTTGGAGCATCCGTTGTCGCGCGGCCGCCGACCAAAAAAGCATTCCCACCAGCCCATCCAGAAACGATGCCCAGGCGAGTTGCTTTGATCAGAAAAGTGTGTGAGCAATCAGTGCAACGATGGGGCGGCAACCGTGAAACCAATACTCGGGGTCAGCCTGAGCAGACCCGGGCGTCAACCTTGAATGGCACGGGGGGGTCTTTCGACACGAGGCAGGTCTCCTCGAAGGTTGAATGGGGGTCGTCACGTGGCCCTCTCTGGCCCACTTCTGGAGGCCCTTCAGGCTCTCCTCCTGGGCCTGGCCATGACCCCGTCGATCAAACAAGGGGGATCCTTGGTTGGCCTCGCCCCGCCCGTCGGAGCCCGGGAGGCCGTCTCTGGTGGCGCCCCCGGGGCCGCCTCGCGGCTCCTCGGGGGGGCCCCTCAGGGGGGGCCTCCGAAGCCCATCGGAGGCCTCGGGAGCCCTCTCAAGGCCCGAGACACCCACCGGAAGCGAACAGGCGAAGAAGCCTTGGGCGCCGCGTAATGGGGGGGTCATAAATGGGGGGGTGGCGAGGGTGGTTCGAAAATGTACCCAAACGGTCGCTAAACGAGTCCCCTGGGGCTCTGGAGGGGCCCGAAAGGGGCACGAAAGGGGACTTTTTCTGACCCCCCCCTTTGTGACCCCCCATTAAGCCACGCCCAAAAGCCAAAACAGATGGAAGGGCCATGGAGGTTTGAATGATCTGGGCCTCTCGGGGGTACCCTTTTTCGGGGGACTCCGAGGTCACCTGGAGCAGCCTCTGGGCCGCACCCAGGCCTCCTGGAGGCACGGTGGAGCCAAGCTTGAGCCAGCGTGGACCACGTTGCGACATCTTGGAGGTCATCTTGGAGGCGTCCGCGTTCATCTTGGAATTCGCTTTGCCGAAAAGCCTCCCAAGGAGGCCCCCGCGAGGCCAGCATCCTTCCAAGAGCTGAGCGTGCTTCGATAGGTGCGGTGTTGAGCGAAGGGGCGCACGAATCAGAGCCCGTCGGTGCCCGGAAGATCGTCTCTCGGGCTCTTCTTGGGGCGTTCCTCGGGGTCCTTGGGCGATTTGGGAGCCGTCCTGGGGCTTAAAAATCCAGCGGAGGTCACGAGGCCAGAGAGCCAAAAACATTGACTGATGTTTGCCTCTCGGGGGTCTCCTTGGGAGGCCCCGCGCCTACTTGTTACAGTCGTGTGGCTGTCTTGAGGCCTCTTGGAGGTATGTTGAAAGCTATCCTGAAATGTCTGATGCCAACGTGGAGGCCATCATGGGCTACCTGGGGCCCCCTTGAAGCCATCTTTGGCAAAAAAACTGCGCTCAGACACCTCGCGAAACTCTGGTCCCAAGCCAAGGGTAGGGGGTAGGTAGAGGGGTAAACCCCACCCCGAAGGGGGAGAAGGGAGATTTGGAGGGGAAGCAGTCTGGACGGCCTACGCTCAGGGAGGTAGCAGGACTGGTCGCGAGACTAGTCTTGAGGATGGTACCTATCCGACACATTCTTGGGAGAAGAAGCGGTGCATATAGTCATGCCGCGGGGTCGCACATCTCGACGAGTGGAAACCGCACCGGCGACCATGAAAAGGACGGTCCCCCAAACAGTTGCACCCCGTGCGGCTGCTACACGGTAAGCTGGTACACGCCACGCACTATGCCCAGCACGTTCTCTCTGGACTGCGCACAACGGCCCGGGGGACGGCCCGGCGGCTCCAGAGACGGCTCGGCGGCCCGAACGACCTTCGCCGCAGGGCCGCGCTCTGGAAAACCTCTGGGCTGGACGACAGGGGGGGAGTGGGAGAGGGGGGGTACGAAATCTGCTGCATGCAGCCGATTTCGGCCCCACCGAGGGGCCCACTCCTCGATACACAGTCGCCTCCGGCGCCGGGAGGCGCTGGGAAAGTCAGCTACGTGAGCTGATTCTCAAACCCCCCCTGTGCTACCCCCCCCTTTCGCCTGGCCCGAAAAACCTCTGGGGAGTCGCGGGGACGGCGGGGCGCGGCACGTCCTCAGCTCCGCCTCGGGGAAGCGCAAGCCTGGACCGGAGGCGCGTGGGCCTGGCGACGGGCCACGCTGCCCTGCAAGGATCGGCGCGCACCGTCGCCAAGTCCGGCGGCGCAGGCTCCGTGTTGGGGGTGGTACGTTGCCCCAGTGCCCACGGGACAGATCCACGTATGTGTAGTCCGCGTTAGTGCGTGCTCGGAATCATGGTTTGCATTGCTTGGTTGGTTGGTCTATTCGGCTCCGACGTCAACCCGTTTTTGGTGGGTGCACCTTCCGTTGGATGTTTGGCACGGGCTTCTAAATCTGTTGACCGATGTCAGCATGCCGGTGACATGTCTGACCCAATTCGGGGCACGGTCGAGATCAACATGTCAATGCATGGCGACCAACATCTCAGGATAACGATAATGACGCAGATGTTTGTTTCTACTGTGGTCGAGACCAGATTTTCAGTGTCCTACCAGCTAGACTGATACCGACCAGTTGACGTTTCCGTTGCTCCATCTTTTCCAGCCGAATGTTGTGTTGTTGCGCTCGATGACGCATCTGATTGGCACGTAGCTGATGGCATTATGGCCGGCATCCCGTCAACATCGCAATGGTCAACACCAACGCCCGGCGTTGATCAGATACGTGGCTATTCTCCGAATCATCAATTATGATTCCTTTTCTTCGTCCTCCGTTTCCTCTTGCTTACCTCCTGTTTTTCCTGCTTTTCAGCTTGTCCTTGCCGGTGCATAAAAGCGTTGCTTCCCGTGGCTGTTTAGCCCTAGGTTGCAATTTCCGAAAGTGCGCCGGTGGATCTCCCTGGGTACACTAAAACATTAAAGGGGGGGGTCCAGAACCCCGCCCCCCCTAGGTCCCCCCTTCAAGGGGGGGGGGGGTCCGGAACCCCCCCCCCTCCCCCCCTCAAGGGGGGGGGGGTCCCGAACCCCTCCCCCCACCCCTCCCTTGAAGGGTGGGGGGGGTCCGGAACCCTCCACCCCCCTCCCCCCCTTGGCGCCTGAAAGGGAGGGGGGGGTCGGACCCCCCCCCTTTGTGTAGGGAGTACGGAGTTGGGAGTAGGGAGTGGTGAGTAGTGAGTAGCGAGTTAGTGCTTAGTGAGTAGTGAGTAGTGGGTAGTGAGTGGCGAATATGGAGTAGGGAGTAGGGAGTGGGGAGTAGTGAGTAGTGAATAGTGAGTAGTAGTGTGTACTGATAAGTGAGTAGTGAGTGGCGAGTAGTGAGTAGTGAGTAGTGAGTAGCGAGTAGCGAGTAGTGAGTACTGAGTAGGGAGTAGGGAGTAATGAGTAGTGGGTAGTGAGTAGTGGGTAGTGAGTAGTGGATGGCGGGTAGTGATTAGTGAGTAGAGAGTAGTGGGTAGTGCGTAGTGCGTAGTGAGTAGTGAGTAGTGAGTAGTGGGTAGTAGCAGTGGGTAGTGAGTAGTGAGTAGCGAGTTGGGAGTAGCGAGTAGTGTGTAGTGAGGAGCGAATAGGGCGTAGTGAGTAGAGAGTAGTCAGTAGTGAGTAGTGGGTAGTGATTAGTGAGTAACGAATAGGGAGTAGCGAGTAGTGAGTAGTGAGTAGCGAGTAGGGAGTAGGGAGTAGTGAGCAGTGAGTAGTAAGAAGTGGTAAGCGAATAGTGGGTAGTGAGTAGCGACTGGTGAGTAGTGGGTAGTGACTAGTGAGTTGTGACTAGTGACTAGAGACTATGTAATGACTAGTGAGTAGGGAGTAGTAGGTAGTGAGTAGTGAATAGTGAGTAGCGGGGAGTGCGTAGTGTATGGAAGTAGCGAGTAGTGAGTACTGAGTACTGTGTAGTCAGTAGCGAGTAGCGAGTAGTGGGTACTGAGTAGTGATTTGTGGGCAATGGGTAGTTAGTGAGTAGTGAGTAGTGGATAGTGGGTAGTGGGTAATGAGTGGTGATTAGTGAGTAGTGAGTTGGGAGTAGTGAGTAGTGCTTAGAGAGTAGTGAGTATTGAGTAGTGGGTAGTGAGGAGTGCTTAGTGAGTAGTGAGTAGCGAGGAGGGAGTAGTGAGTAGGGAGTAGTGAGTAGCGAGTAGTGGGTGGTGGGTAGTGAGTAGTGGATAGTGAGTAGTGAGTCGCGAGTAGTGAGTAGGGGGTAGTGAGAAGTGAGTAGCGAATAGCGAGTCGTCAGTAGTGGGTAGTGAGCATTGAGTAGTGAGTACTTTTTGGGGCTGGGGTTAGTGGTTGGGGTTAGGATTCGGTGTTTGGGTTAGGGTGAGGACTAGGGGTAGGGGCGGCGGGGGTCGGGTGCCGGAGTTAGGGGGCGGCGCGGCGAAAGGGGGGGAGGAGGGGGAGGGGGTTCGGACCCCTCCCCCTCTTGAAAGGGGGGGAGGGGGGGGGTCCCCGACGACGGATCGGGGAAAGGGTGGACGGGGGGGGGGTCCCCGACGACGGATCGGGGAAGGGGGGGGGTCCTGATGCCCCCCCCCCTGGGGGGGATCCAGCGGCGCACCCTCGCAATTTCCGCTCTTACCTGGCATAACCACACGTGCTTCGCATCGCTTTACATTCCTCTTACGGGAAACCATGCGAACCTTCTGACATAATCAGTTTTGGTTGGTAGTGAAGCAGTTTCGCCCCTGGTCCCATACCACGGCCGCCATGTCCCGCCCCGCCTCGCTGGCCATGGCTCCAACCCTCCGCCGCTCTACATCGCGACGCCCGCGGGAGACGTCACTCAGTGGCACGACAGGGCTGGGCCAGCCCATCCGCAGGAACATTGCGTCGTGCCTCCCTCCATGCCGCTTCACATCCTACTCTACATCCGTTTTCAACATCAGCTCGCGGACCCCAAACCGTCAGCGCCCCCCCGCCCGTGGAGGTTGCCTGCGGTTTTAGACAT